GACACTCTAAAGCAGACCTAGACTGTGCCGTTTCTACAGCTGGAAGATGTGGAGTTTATATCTTCGTGTTACTTTGGGCCAGCTGGGCGACCTGGGGAAGTCCCTCTCTGAGCCTTCAGTTTCTTCACAGGAAAGTGAGCTCAGCTGTCTCTGTGGCTCATACTTACTGTGTGTGTGTGGGGGGGGGAATGGAGACAGTCTGCACAAAATGCCAGGTACAGTATCCTGCCTGCTGTAGCACACTCTAACAGGACTGTGACTGTAACTCAGAAGAGACGTTCCCTGGGTCCAGCAAAAAACAGGGGTGCTCTTGCTCCTCCCAGAATGCCTGCCATGGAGAGACTGACTTTCTCCATCACCACCCCACATCACCGTCTTCTTCTCCATCACGTTTCTTGAACAAAGACAATATGAAAATAGCTCTCTCCCTGGGAGCCTGCCCCTGATGACAAGGGGGCTGCAGAGCAATTCAGAGCAGGCAGCACTCAGGACAAGGCTGAGCAGCTCAGCTAATGACTCCAAACAGGAGCCCACACCCCAAGGATTCCCTCCACGTCTGTCCCACTCAACACCCCGGCTAGGAATGGGATGCTGGTACTATTAGGGCTTCGTGCTACTGAGTAAATTAAAATCAGGTGCGGGACTGTTGTGTTTTAGACTGGATGGCTGAGCTTTATCGTCGCCGAAAGAACTACCGAGGAAAGATTTGAAGGAAGCCAACTAAAACACGGAGGCAAGCCAGTGGCGGACTGCCTAGAGAATCCTGGGGCCATCGGGTTTCTAGGCATGGGAGCTGGAGAGATGGCTCAGTGAGTAAAAACTGCACACGCATGAGGACCTCAGCCCTGATTCCAGCGCCCATGTAAACTACTACAGCAGGATGAGCACCTGAAACCCCAGCACAGTATATGAGATTGCAAATAAAAGCTTGGCTGCGGCTTGCCGGCTGCCAGCCTAGCTCCAGGCTCAGTGAGAGAAAGGCCCTGTCAGAAAGGAATAAAGCAGAACATCTGTGTCTCTTTCCGTTGTCTTTCTCTCTCAGATGGTATATGTGTGTTATCTGTGATCATGGATGCTTGCACATGTGGAAGCCGGAGAAGACATCAGATGTTCAGGCAGGGAACACAAAAAGGGCTGGATGGTCAAGGCTGGAGTGCTCAGGTTGGATTAAAGAGAACCAGCCACCCTCAAACATCCGCGTGCTTGTGAATTCCCTGAGAAGTGCTAGGAACACGCAGGTACCGGGCCCGGCCCCTGGGATTCTGATGGAGAAAGTCTGGTGTGAGAATTCTGGAGTCTGCATTGTCATGAGTGTCTAGGTTATTCCTACACAGGTGGTCCAGATCCACAAACACCAAAACGCTCTCCCACAAAGTCCATGTCTGTTGCTTTGCTTTAAGTTAGCGAACACCTTTCCTGAGACAAAAGACAGAATGTGGGAGAACAGAACTTGAAGCCTTCAACTCAGCAAAATTTCAAGATAATTAATAGAGATTGGGTGCTTGCTAGAAAATGAAGGATTCTGGTGCTGGAGAGATGGCTCAGAGGTTAAGAGCATTGACTGTTCTTCCTGAGGACCTGGGTTCAATTCCCAGCACCCACATGGCAGCTCACAACTGTCTCCAATTTCTATTCCAGGGGATCCGACACCCTCACAGACATACATTCAAGCAAAAACACCAATGAACGTAAAACTAACAAAATGAAGTATTCATGTACATACCATAGATTGGGTGAAAAAATAAATTACATTTAGACGATTTAATACTTCTGAGATGGAATCAATTCAATGGCTGAGTGAACGGCAAGAGGTAAACCCCTCTTACTTGAAGTTATCCACTAAGGTACAATTTCAGCCACTCATCACGAAAAGGAAGCCTGGACCAATCATACCACAAAGCATCAACTGTATTCAAGAACACATACCAGGAAGGGTTAACTACAACTGCACCTGGAAAAAAAAATGGCTACTACCAACCCACATAAACCCAGAGAGAAGTGTTTGGGGTCCAAGGTGACCTAATATTTTCATAAATAACTCCAAAGATGGAGTGGGAATTATGCAAATCAAACCTCAGGTGACACAAAAATGGCAGGGATTGCAAGTCTGTGGAGAATGGAATTTAACTACTGGGCAATGTCTTTAAATTTGCCTTTATTGAATCTTGTATATTGAAGTCACACATTATTGTATCTGTTTATTGAGATTCAATGGGGCCAAAGGCAGAGTGATTTATGGAAAGAAAGATAATCAAATGCCTCAGGGGAAAAGATCCTACACCTGGAGAGACCCTGGCACCAGGTGTAGAAACTGATAGGAACAGATAGGAACCGACTAGGAAGGAGTTAGAGGTACACAGAGCAGTTGGGTAGTCTCTGAAGACAGGTTTTGTGCCAAGAACTGGTGCATGAATTAGGAAGAAAAAAAAAAATTTCTGCCATTCTCTGAGCTACTTGGGCCTTGATGCTACTTCTGGTAGAAATGCTTAAACACAGACCCAGTAGGGAATTCAGAGCAAGATAGCACAAGATTATAGGGTAGGACCCTAGTTCACCCAAGAATACAGGGGATGCCAGGCCAAAACGCTGAGTGTGCCTATTTGTTGGGGAAGGAGACACAAAAGGCCACACGGAGGAGAGTGCCGTTCTGGCTCCCATTAAGGAAATACAATCATGGGAAGCACAGCTGGAATTGTGGAGAGAGGGCAGCTGTGGCAACACCATCCCTCGGGGACTCCGGAGAAGGGCGACGGGACACCTCTCTAGTTAGGATGCATTAGAGATTATTAAAAGCATTCCTTGTCCAGCCCAGGGATGGGGGGGTGGGCTTCATGACCTCTCCCAAGGTCACTTCTACCCCGAGGGATCCCATGTCTGAAGGGCACCAGATAAAAATAAAGTCTATTAATCACCAAGCTGTCACACAGTGTCCTGAGAGAGCCAGGATGAAGAAAGGCAAACTGCAATGGACCTTGCTTTTCAGAGGAAGGAGGAAGGAGGCAGTGGTAGGTGGTACATGTGCGGACAGAGCCAAGGAAGCAGCTGCTGACACTTCTGGGAAAGCCTGTGTCACCCTGTAATGAGTCCCTCCGAGCTCTGCATGGGAACAGGGGTAGGAAGGGGAGCAGAAAGCATTGAAGGACACTAAGAGTCCCTAAGCAAAGCTGGGAGTCTTGAAGGAGAGGGTCTGCTGAAAGCACAGCACAGGAGCAAGGAGGAAGGGGTTGGCTTACAAAGGCTCTGTGCAGGAAGGAGAGCCAGGAGCCAGGCAAGAGGGCACTTCACAGAGATAATCCACCGGAACACAGCTGTCAGAGAAAGTGGAGGGAAGAAAGGAATGGTGAGGAGGCTGAAGCAAGAAAAGGGCGCATCAGGGGTGTGTCTGGAAATATAGGAGACTAGGACACCTCAGAATTCCACAAAAGTTCTAGAAAGAGGGCCAGTGAGTTGGCTTAGCAGGTAAGCACACTTGCCACCAAGCCTGATGGCCTGAGTTCAATCGCTGAAATCCACGGGCGCAAGGAGAATTAAACAGCCAAATGAGGGTTGTCATGAAGATTGAGTTCTAGCAAAACACTGTTCCACAAACACCTAGTTGACCCCTGATCTCCACACAAGCCAGTGCGTGCACGAGCTCCACGCACAGACACGCAACCGATTGTAGTTAATGCGATGAGAACTTTTTTAAAGTTACAGGAATAGAGCGAAAAGTTGAGCATCCCACTCACAATGGGGAACATGGCTTTTTAGAATAGAAATGGAGTCATTACGCCTCAGCTCCAAAGCATCTGTTGGCACTCTTAACCGGTGCCACACACAGCTGGAAAGCCTACCCACGGCCCAGAAGAGATCTCCCAAGGGCTAGCACGCTTGGACTCTTTACATATCAGGACACAACTAAGTGACATCTGGGAAGTAAGGACCAGACCAAATAAGGCAGACCCCACGTTCTGCTCTCGTCTCTTCCTGGAACACAGTTCCTTGAGGATGGCCATGAGATCTTCAGAAGGCTCAGGAATGTCATCTGGTGGCGTATTAAGGAGCCAAACGAGGAGCATGGCAAAATTTCTAGCAAAATTTTCTATCAGATGTCACAGGGCATAGGACAACATCTTGACATCAAGAGGCCAGTGAAAGGGTAGGGAAAAGGCACCACCCCACTGTGCTCCCTATGTCATATCCCCTTGGCTTTCTTTATCTCCGTGGAGGATGCGGGACCTAACAAGATGGAGAAGCACCCAGAGCAGAGGGATCACCAGGCCAGGTCCTGTCTTATCCAGCTTTCTGCCATTCTCGGAGCAGCCTGGTCCTGGCGGCTGGCCTTGGCATGGAGTGAGCAGGAAGTGCCCAGCAGAGTGACAGATAACAGGGCAAGGCTGTGGAACCCACCACAGCCCACCCTTGAAGGCTACTGTCCTTTCAATGATCACTGTCCCTCTTTGTGTTCCTCCCTTGGCCTCTACCCTAGTCCCATACTCAGGCTCTAACCTAGGAGCCAGGCAACTACTCTTCCAAAGATGTTTCTGAGTCATGGAAGGAATGGTGCAGAGGAGCTGAGAGCCATTTGCTAAAGCAAGCCATCGTCATAGAAAGATTCATAACCAGCCCTGCCTAGGACAGGAGAGAGGGGGAGAGAAATAAAATTAAAGGGAAGTGAATCAGACAAATGGAAAGTCACAGAAGCCAAGGACCTTCATCAGAGAGCTTTGGGCTACACTCTCATTTGGGACTCTGAAAGGGTGAAAGATGTAGAGGATGAGTCTTGGAAGAGACAGGCAAAGTGAGAGGAGGCAGGAGGAAGTCCAGAACGGAGAGCTGACGTCCAGGAGCGCAGACTGAGAGGTGGAGCCAGACCACTGTGCCCAGAGCCCCAACCACAGCAGGAGGGGATGTGAGCACACAGGGCTGAAAGCAGGAGGGCCTGGTGAGCCCCAGAGCTGGTGGCCTACTGCCAAGGCAGCACAGAAACACTGGGCCGAGAGTGCACATGAGATACTTACTGTCACAGACGTATGGTTTGTCGTGGTCTTCCTGAGAGGCAGCGTCATGCCTCCTCCGGCCACCTGCAGAGCCACGAGCCTGGGGAGACATTGAGCACGAGACACCCGTTACTATGACAGCCTCTTGGCTCACAGGCACACACTCTTTGGGCTCTTTGCACCACAGCCTTTGTTCCCACGCCAACCCTGCTTTACATCAGGAAAACTGAGACCAGGAGGATTAGGTAGCTTGTCCTCGGCTACTCACCTGACTCTTCTTATTGTTTCCACAGTAACTCCCAGAAGGAAGTATAATAGTGGCCCCTTTGTATAGGTGAGGGGACCGAGGCAACAAAGAGATGAGGTGACTTTCCCAGTGTCATTCATCTACTACATGCAGAACTAGGATGTGAGCAGAAAAGAGTGACTGAAGTCGTGGCTTGACTGTGAAAATCCCCAGCTAGTGCCATTTTTTTTGTGGGGGTGAAGGTAAACTTTAGGAGATGAGCCAAACTGTAGTCTGTAGGGACAGTATAGGCGTATGTCTTTAAAGGTTATACTTGTCCTGGGCAAGTCTTCTTCCTGCCCCTCGTTGTCTCCTGGTCACAGTGAGCAAACTACTCTGTACAGCGGATACTCTTGCCACCGTGTTCTGCCTCTCCACAGACCCGTAGCAATAGAGAAAGCCAACCGTGGCTGACTCCTCTGAAGCCATGAGCCAAAATAAATCCTTTAAGTGGCTGCCTCAAGTGCTTTGCTACAGCAATAGGAGTCTAATTCATATGGTCCTGTATCTACCAGGTATGGGGCCTCTACCATACAGCGTCTCTCTGCCTCACTGACTGTGTACAAGATGTCATGAAGCCCTACATGCTGATCATCGGGAACAGGAAGTGTAACTGCTGTGTCACCCCAGGTTCCTGTGCCCACACTGCCTACCCTAAAGGCCTCGAGGAGCCAGTCCCCTCCTCCATGCTTGGCCTTCACTGTAGGCCTGGGCTTCAGTCAGGTCTCCTTCAGGGACTAAGACCTTAACCCTCAAGATCAACTGGATTCCTGATACCTACCAGAACCCTGTGTGTCTCCCTGGGTGGGTCACATGACCGGAGGGGAAGGACAGAAGAAGCTAGACTTCAGTAAGGCTGCCAAAAGCTCTGTATCCCAAGACAGCAGCTACCAGAAAGCAGCAAGGCTTATTTACAAGCTATTGTAAGCCCTGCACTGGCCTTCCTGCAGCACCTTAGCCTCCTCCAGGTCATTCACTGCTAATGAGTGGAGGTGAGCCACCAGCCACGCAAAGGGCTGGCTGCAGTCTTCAGGGACAGAGAGAAAGGGTCAGCAGGAATGAAACGTGATGGGGAAGAAGTCTGGGGTGCAGGTCCAGGACCTGCTGGAGAGAAGTTGTCCCAAAGAGTCATGGTGGAAAAGCCTGGGATGGAGTTTTCCACACATACACATTCACAGATACGAGTGCACACATCTTACTGGGTGCTTTGTGAGTGGGCAGGCCTACTCTCCAGGCCTGTGGTGCTCACCCCCCCCTCACACACACTTCACAATCAACTCCACCTGCCAAACCATCACTTCTGCCATCTCCTCGGCTTGTCTTTTCAAATGGTAATAATAATAATAGAATTTCACCTCCCTCCTTGTTACCATCTTCCTGCCCCCATCCCTGCTAGGGATAATCAATAGAAATCACTCTCTTCCCCCTTTTCCTCTCTCTTCTCCTCCTTCTCCTTGTCTTCATCCTTCTCTTCCTCTTCCTCCTCTTCCTCCAAACACCCTCAAATGCTCAATGAGCACCGGCCATCACCCTGAGGCACTGACAGACATTGTGCCCAGGATGCTGAGGGTGGTCATCTTACAGCCCTGGCCCTCCCCATGCCTTCTCAGTGGAGCCAGGGACAGCTTGACATGCACAGCCGGCAGCCCTGTCACAGCCCCTTGGAGCAGGTAAAAAGCAAGCCAGGCAGAATGATGAGGCCACAGCAAATGCCGGAAGGGGCTCCGCAAGACTGGCCACATGTCAAGGCAATAAGATGAGGGGGCAGGCAGAACAGAAGCACTGGGGCTTCTGAGGGAGCCAGCAGAGGGAAAGAACAGCTCAGCTGAGAGCCGGCTTCCTCCCCTTGCTGCTGGGCTGACCAGCAGGGAGGCTGCATGCTCCCAAACTCCCCACACCTTGGTTTTTGCCAAACAGAGATAAAGGCTACACAGGGCATCTGAGGCAATGTGGGTGGGCTTCTCCTGAAACAGTGGAACTCTTGATCTCCTGGAAGTCTCGGAGGCCTCCGGGAAATGTCCTACTCGAACGCCACTTTCTTCAAGAAGTGATGTCCACTTGTCTCCTTTCATTCTTTTTCCTTTCCTCCACTTTATGTTTAGTCACAGCACATGGCATTATCTGGTGCTACACTGTACATGCGTTACTTTACTTGCTGATTTTTCTATCTGTCCCACAGGAGGTAGAGTCCTATATGGGCCACCACTGTTTTTGGAACCAAGCGTATTCCTTCAGCAGGTGCCAGATCATTTTATCAATCCATCAGGTGGTGAGTTGACCATTGTCCTTCTTCTTTATCTGTATCCCAATGCTATATTTCTTCCCTCAAAGGCCATCAGCTGATCTTGAACCTCCCCACCCCAACCCCATACCAGGCGGGGCTTTACCTCCCCACTTCCCAGCCTAACCCCTCCTACATGACTACTAACAGAGGGGTGGGGGCTGGAGATCATTCATTCACTCACATTCCACCATTGCCAGCTATGACACATTTACATAGCCAACTGCGGCCTACTACCCGCCGAGCAGTCTCACCCAGGGCTCATGCTGTGTCTAGAAGCAAATTCATGTCTTTGTTTGCATGGCTCCTTTTATGATCACCTCTCCTATGCCATCCACAGTCAACCTACATTTCAGCATCCTACCCCTCCAAAAATCTTTCCCTTGCTACACTGAAGAGTGAAAAAAAAAAAAAAAAAAAAAGATGTTTGAAAGTCTGACAGGCCTGAACTTAAATTCCAGTTATTCGTTACTATAACAAAAAGCCTGAGGTAGGTACTTTTGAAAGGAAAAGAGGTTTATGTTGGTTGTTGGGAACTCAGCTGGTGTTATCCTTCTTCTAACAAAGTCCATAGGCAACACAGAGTGTCACATGGCAAGAAACAGGGAGCCCTCCTGTGTGCCTCTTTCAATCCTTCTCCATCTTTTATTGACCCTCAGGACCCAATCAGGAAGCTCTACCCGACCTCACCTAATAATCCTAGTCACTTTACTAAAACCCCCTCTGACTACTACAGCAGCCGTCTAGTTTCTGACCTCTCGACATCTCAAATGGCCTTTAAGTTTCATCACATGAAGTCTCGGGGACACTCAAACCATATCCAAACCACAGATAGCACCAGCTGGCTGTCACACAACAAGTTACCCCCTCTACGGCTTAACTTATTCATTTATAAAATGGGCAGCAGCAGGCCAGATGTGGTGGTGCCCGTCTGCTACCCCAGCACTCAGAAGATGAATACTGCAAGTTTAAGTCGGCCTGGTCTACACAGGAAGCTCCAGACCACCCACAGCTACTTAAGAAGACTGTCTCAATCAACATATACATCCGTAAATGAATAAATAAAACAGGAACAGAAACACCTCTGCAGCACAGTTGTTGAGATGATTAGAGTTAGGGGAATAAGGCCACAGGACACAGCATTAAGCCTGTAGGAGGTACAATAAGTTATTGACCTTCCATGCCTGTGTGGGTGAACGAGAGGGTAGCCATCCGCTAGGCTCTCCTTGTGACCGTTAGCACACGATGAGAAGCCATCTTGAGTCCTACTTAACACCTCCCCAGTTTGAGCCTTGGGTCCCTAAGGAGAAAGATGGCATCTTGTACTTTATTATGAAGCCCTAACATTCTCCTGCCTACACAGCGCAAAGGTCTTCCATATACATAAGCTCAGTGACTCCTGCAATAACCCTGTGAGTTGGGCCAACCATGTTGCTGTCTGACAGTGGGTGCCTGTTCTGCATGGGTCTGTGACTTGCCCATAATCCCAGAGCCAGTGGAAACAGCAGGACAGGTTTCTAGGCTCTAATCCAGACTCCTACTCTCCCAAAGAGACCCATCCTCCCTCCCTGAAGATGCTCAATTTCCACTCATACACTGGAGGCCATGGCAGCCATGACAGGGCCCTGCCTTACTGGCCGTAGGTGGGTAGGCTCAGGAGGAGACAACTAATTACTAGGCCAAGCCTGTTTTAGTTGCAACCTGGACCACTCACATTCTACCATCAAAGGACTTGGAATCTGAAAACAGTGACCCCTCTTGGTCACCTGAGTTGTAGGAGCCCACAAATTCAGGAGCTCTGGAATCCTGTGCTAAGAGGTGTGGGAAATGCGGACACCACAGAGTGATAGGAAGCAGAAGCTGTGGGTGGTACTCTTACTCTCCTCAGTTCTGATCCCATCACCTTCCTGCCCTTCTTGTGAGCTGGATCTTCAAAGATCACTCACATCTGGGACAGTGGCCCCAAGGTTTCAAATTCTCCTTAGCTCTATAAAAGCTGCTCTCAAGTAATGGCCAGGGGTGAGCATCAGACCTCTTCTCCTTATAGGCTAAAGAGGTGGCTCAGCAGTAAAGAACACTTGCTGCTCTTCCAGAGGACCCAGGTTCAGTTCCTAGCACCCACAAATCGGCTTACAATCAGGGGATCTGACGCCCTCTTGTGGCCTCTGAGTTCACCTTTACTCATCTGCACAGAACCACATGCACGGAACTAAAACAAGTATTTTTTTGTAACAAAAGCCATTCTCTTGGTGCCACTAAAAAGATCGTTTGCCTTTTTCATTCTCATTTCCTCACAAGTGTACAGTGGGGTTTTCCGGAGGCTGCATGACATTTGACAAGGCTTTCGGTGTGCACTTGTATATTCATGAGCTACATTCATAAGCTGAATTTTGTCTTAATTTCTAATATAGCAAATCATTAGTGAAATTAATGTCACCTGCTATGCCCAGAACAATAGCTTTGAGGGGCTGTCAGTATTTGTTAATGGTGCAAAGAATTCCTGAAGCAGAGAAAGGGAGGGCAGTGCTCTGCCAGCTCGCCATTGGAAGCATAGTCTTCAGACCAGCAATTCCCAAGAGTTTACCATCAAGGCAAGAGCTTATCACCCACCCTCCACAGCCCAGAACTACCACATCAGAATTTGTTCTTTGGCAAGATCCCTGGGGACTTCCTGGGCACACACAAGTTTGAAAAACACGGAGCTGTGCCACAAGTATGCCAATAATTACTAATTTGATTGGTTGTTTGATTGATTGATAACACAAGGATCAGTCACATGAATTTCACTAATTTCCTTGGTTGTAGTTACCATAGACACAATTAGTAATCGTTGGGTATGAACTGCCCTCGCCTCTCAGAAAATATATAGTATTAAAACTCAGAAAGTTATCTGCTTCGACAATATCCTTCTCTGTCTGTCCTCTATCAGGCACTCAAATTTGGCCCTGTGTTATTGTTCCCCACTTATTGATGAGCAAACTGAGGCCCAGGTCACAAAAGCAACATGATTCACCCAAGGCGCAGGAGGTGGTAGAGCTAAGATTGGCACTCCTGGGTGGGGTTCTGATACGGAAACCTATCCGAGACTCACTACCAAAGCCACGGCCTCCTTCACGTTCTCGGAGTGGCTAGGGTCTTGTCAGAGGTCTGCGGGACAGGGACTGGGCTCCTCTCCCATTCCCAACAAACTCCCAGGTGAGACTGAGGCTCTCGTCCAGACTGCAGAGGCAGGTGTCAGGCCAGCGTGGTTGCTCTTCCGTGGCCAGGAAGCTCCAGAAGCAGCCAGAAGGCCCGTGTGGAAGCTTAAGGCTGTGAGTGAGGCAGCTTCCCACACTCGTTCAGCCTCGAGACCCTCTGCTGCAGCCTCCGCTTCCTCCAGGGCTCTCCGAGTGGTGACCTGTCCACTGTGTCGCTATACAACCTGGAGCCATTAGCTGTCACTCAGTCATGAGGTCCAGATACGACTTTTCTTCCGGCCTTCCTCATTCAGGTCATTCATCCAGCCTAGATATGCAGGGTCCTGGGCCAGACAGGACTCGGTAGAAAAGGCACAGATCTGTGTTCAAATTCTTCTTTCTTTCTGACTAGATGGAGCAACTTTGACCTTCCTCCCTACCACATCTGCCAGTAGCTGCTTTTTTTTTTTTTTTAGGAATGAGCTAGGCTAGCTGGGAGTGTAGCTCAGTGCTTAGCAACTAGTTAGAGCATTTAAACCTGGGTTCCACCCCAAGCACCTCCAAAACAATGAAAACAGATAAAACGAGATAGGTGCATTTTAATTTTAATAACATTTTACTCAAGTATAACAAAATACGTTATGGTAAAAACTTAGGGAAACTAACAATGAGGTGTTTGGCATTCTTTTCCTAGTCTAAGCTATTAGAATGTGGTGTGTACCTAAACCTAATATTCACAGCACCCACCAATCTGGACTAACACGCACTAGGCAGCCACGGGCAGCAAGTGGCTGCTGCACTGCGCTGTTGGGAATGGAGGATACAGAGCACAAAGCACCCAGAACAGCATCACGGCTCTCTAGAGTGGGCTCACTCAGGAGCCCTTCGCTCCACCTGGTTTTGAGTGAATACATGGGCTGGTGGATCCTATTACTCCTGACACCTCCACAGAAAAGGCAGCCAATCCCTACTCACTCACAGCAATGCCCACCTTCCACACTCATGCCACAAGTGCCAGGGCCATTTTCCACAATGTATTCTACAAAGCCTGGCCGGGGCAGCTGGGAGATGGGGGAAGGTTGGGAGGTTCTCAGCTCTTGGCATTCACAACAGGCACAGGGAACGCCATGCCCCTCTGTCTCCGATGATGAAAAAGATGTTTCTTCTATCACCATCTCCCCCCCCCCACACACACACACACACTCCACAGCTGCAGAGAACCATTAGGTGAAACCCTGATGAGGGACATTACAGGAAAGAGACCGGTCTAGAAGCAGCGAATCCTAATCAGCTTGAACGGCACGAAAGGCAGAACAGCCTGGAAACACAGACCCCTGAAGTCATAACAAAGTATACACCACCACCCAGGAATTGTGCTCACCCCTCAGAATAGATATACGCATGCGTGCACAGAGATACTGAACCTATTCAAATCTCCAAGCAACCGCAGTGCTCCCTGACCCACAGAGAACATGATCCAAGACACCCAGCAGATGCCTGAATCCCAGAGAGCAGTGAGCCCTATAACTGAATGCCTTGTCCATCTTAACTAAAGTACTTTTCATGCACTGCGGCCATGACTTTTGTACTCCTGGAGTGAAACAGCAAAAGTAGCACAAGTTCATTTCTCCTTCACAATTTTTACAGAGAGGTTCAGTCTTACTATAAAATTTGCCAGCCTTAGCAAAGTAACACTTTTCTTGAAACTTAAAAAGAGAACTTTTGCTTTTTTACTTCGAGGGAACTCTATTCCTGGGTTCTCTTTGGTATATACAAATTGTTGATATCCTTACTGTTGCACTTCTAGGCTGGTAAGTATAATAAGGGTTATTGGAACATAAGTACAGCAATACTTATATGCCAGTCTGTCTGGCGTGACAAATACTGGATAATTAACAGGCAGGTAGCATACACAGAATGGATACACTGGGCAAGGGTTGTAGGTATTAGAATAAGGTGTGTTTGTGTGGTGTATAAAAATGCCTAACAGAAAAAAAAAAACAAATGCCTAGTAGAGATACACACACACACACACACACACACACACACACACACACAATGAAATGTCTAGGATCTACTTTCAAATACTCCAGTGGGAAACAAGCACACAAACCAACAATGAGTAGGAGAAAAGAGTACATAAGAAAACTGTGGAAATACTGGTAACTGATGATGATGACGATGGTAACGTCCCAATGAATCTGCCCCTTCAGACAGCTGCCCTTCCCAGACTGAGAACTCTGGCTCTTATCAACCGTGGGACCACCTCGGATCACAATGCAGCCAGCACCAGACTTCATGCAACAATCGCCTGGGAACTTGCTTACAATACAGTGCAAGGCCTGATCCTAGACTAATACCTGAGCAGAGGTCCTGGGCATCTAGTTTTGTTACATAGTCTCTGTGGTACTATTGTGTATAAAACCCAGGCTTACTATAATTATCAGTGGGCCCAAACCCGCACGGCGCACAAGACTAACTTCTCAACCACAGCAAGGAGAAGGTCCTAACCTAGAGCTGATAGGAGCTAGACCTTCAAGCCCTCAAAAGTAGATTCTCCAGTGAATAGCTATAGTCCTCCCCTGGAGGTCTCTCTCTGCCTAATTATCATGATGCCCTTGGCTATCTCTGTAGAAGATCACAGACTGCTTGGCTGAACGAGAAGACCCTGGAGAACCACACAGAATGTCTGAAAGCATGGTCTTGGTCAGCTCTCTTCCCTTTTAGGAACTAGGCACTGTTTTCTTTCTTCCCATCAGAATCTCTGCTACTCGCACCTCTGCCCCCCCCCCACACCTTTCTTGTTCATCTCAGGGCCACATGCCTCTAAAGGTGATGCAAAGTCCATTCAGAGGACTATCAACCAGCAGGCTTCTCTCTACCTTCCCCCCCACCCCCAGGAAGCAGGTGTCCTGACCCCATCATTCTGGGAAAAACCTAAGGAACGGAAGGGCAAGCACTCTTTTCATGGTGGAGTCTCAGAAAATTCTCCTTGCCCTCTGCTCTCCCAACCCCAAGCCCCTCAGAGCAACCTCTGCTTCCTCTCCTTTCTTTTGCCAGCTCAGGACTGGCATGCCCAGTCCATGCCAGCCATGCCCAGCCTGGGGCTCTGCCAGCATCTTCCTCAGAGCAGTGTCCAAGTAAGACCATGAGGTGTGTCTATGCACGGAGGGGACTAGAACCAACCTGAACTCGTCCCTTGCAACCTTCTCCCACTTACCCGTCCTCTGGTCCTATTCTTGCGCTTGGGAATATCCTCTTCCAAATCCTCCTCTTCGTTCCCTTCTTCTACATTCTCATCATTTTCCAAAACCCTCTGCAATGACAAGAAAATCAAACACAAGAGCTGAGAGATAAAAGGCAACGGCAAGAACCATCAAAGGGTGTGTTGGGGGTGTCCTGGGTTTTTTGTTCTTCAGTGAAGCAAGGGCCCTGCCGCTGCCTGATGGTTTGAAATCTCAGCGGAATCGGTACTCTTTCAAGCCCTCAGGCCCCTTCCATCCAGATCATCCCAGAACACTGACCTTTCTCAACTCCTTTTACCCATCCACCCTCAAAAAAAGGGGGAGGGTTGGCAAGAGTATAAGGATGCTTTTCCAAAGCTGCCTTATCAAAACTGTCTTTAACATGGCATGTTGCTAACCCAGAATATAAAAAGCCATTTCTCCTTTCTCTACCATTGTGGAGCTCGACCCTGCTTGATGGAAGCAGGCCAGGACATACCTTTAATATGCTGCTCATAATAATCCACAATGGGGTTGTTTTTAAGAAAAATAGGCCGGGCGTAGTGGCACATGCCTTTAATCCCAGCGCTCTTTAGGAGGAGCAGAAGCAAGTGGATTCCTGTGAGTTCAAGGCCAGCCTGTCTAAAAAGCGGGTTCCAGGATAGCCAGGGAAGTTTTATGGAGAAACCCTGTCTCGAAAAACAAACAAGAAAAATAAATTTCTGTCAAGGTGTTAGTGACATGTGCCTATAATCCCAGCATAGGAGGAGCAGGAGTTCAAGGCCACTCAGTTTTCATAGTAAACCTAAGGTCAGCCAGAGTTATGTGTTAGACTCCAGGAGAAAGAGACAGACAGACAGGCAGGCAGAGAATAAATCGATTTTCATCACAGTCCATGATTTACAATCAAGCTTTAAGTCTACAAATTCAAATGAGCTCCCTCTACTAGCCCTCAGAACATGGTAACACAGGAGCCAGTTTTAATTTTTAGAAGTGCACAAACTGAGGCTGAAAAGGGTGTTGTTGAGTGTTCCTGGTCATCCAGCAAAGCCATGACCAGGGCAAGGTCGGATTGGTGAGCCTAGCTCCCCACTTGCTCCTGGGACTCCTCAGGTGCATTGCAACAGACAATGCGCCCGATAGGACCTGAGTGCTTCACTCCCTGAACAGAAGAAAAGGAGAGGCGGGCATCTGCCTCCAGGTCTACAGTAGGGTAAAAGAGCATAGGGGATCCAGTTACTACCAGGCAGTGGGATATAAAGGAATGGACTTGGAGCCCGGGAGAGAGAGTCCAGCGACAGGGTGGGAGGAGCTTTTCACAGGCTCGCTGATGCGGCTTTGAGCAATATAACCTTTTGTGCCTCTTCTTATCCAATCAAAAAGCAGCAATTCTTCGGCTCTATAGTACTGTCCAGTGCTGACTACATGTAGATACTAAGCCAAGCCAGAAACGAATGGATAGGGCCCTGGCCCCAAGAAAACCTTAACGTGTACTAAAAAAGTAGGACTGACTCCAATAACATACATAACTACATAACCCCCCTCGTTGCCGTAATGACTGTAAGAGTTCACGGGGCTATAAAAGGGTGCTCCAAGGGAACTGTGCCTGACCTGAAGGTCAAAGGAAACTTTCCTGAGGCTCGGGCAAAGAGCAGGGAGATGTGGAAGATGAGCAAAGAATGAATAAGCACAACTCAGATACACTTCCAGCTTTATGAAAGGGTTATGAATGTGAATGGATGGGCTTAGGAGGTTCTGGATCGGCAAGAGCTGGCAAAGCAGTCTCTAACTTATGGGTAGAAAGATGGTGGTGTGACCAGCACTCAATGGCTTGGGGAAAGATGGCAAAGATGAAGCCAGACAGGTGACTTTATCATAAGGCACAGGGCTGTAGCTTTGTGGTGGTGATGAAAAGGCTTAGAAAGTGGTAGGCCCTGCCCGTGCAGCCGGATTTCACCATTACTGCTCAAATAGTCAACGCCTCTGTAATTTGTCTTTAAAGCAGGAAGCCCAAGAGGAAGTTACCAGAACATTCCACCCCAGACACCCATCTTCTAGGTTACTGCTGGTCCCCCCAAAGGACATAAAACATTTCCCGTGACTTCTATCTTCTCCTCTGGTTGTCTTTGGGATGTTCAGCAGCTGGTAGCACGTGGTAGTGGGAAGGAGAATGGCCCCTGTGGGCTCGTATATTTGAATGTTTGGTCCCCAGTTGGCTGGACTGGTTAGAAAAAATTGTTGAAGGAAGTGTGTCACTGGAGGTGGGCTTTGAGGTTCCAGTGGTCCATGACAGGCACAGTCCCTTTTTCTCTGCCTGCAGATAAGGATGTAGCTCTCAGCTACTCCTCCAGCACCCTGCCTGCCTGCCATGCTCCCTGTCACTATAATCAGGAACTAACCCTCTGAAACTCTAAGAAGCCCCTAATTAGATGCTTTCGTTTATAACTAGCCTCGATCATGGTGTTTCATCACAGAAATTGTAACCCTAACTAAGGCAAGCCAACCTTTAACATCAAAGAGAAATGCCCTTGTCTGCTGGAGATGGCCTGCAGCCCATCGCTAGGAGATGGTGACTAGAATCCAGAGTGAGTTTTTGGCTGCTAACCTTAAAAGGGGGTCACCAGTCAAGCCAGGCAAGGCCAGATCAGATACTCTACCACCTTGGGTGAAAGGCGTTAGGATGGATACAAAGCACCACTGTGGCTAGTGTTTGTTGATTCTATCTTGCAACTGTTTCAGGTCTTAAAGCCATTTAATCATGCCAAGTTCCAAGTGCTGGCATGCAAAGGTCATTGCCTTTGGCGTCTCAGTACAGTTTTGACACCCCTGTCATATTTCATGATAAGAAATTTGTTACAGACAACATGGATTCTAGGCTGAAAAGTCGAAAAAGGAAGGAAGGAAGGAAGGAAGGAAGGAAGGAAGGAAGGAAGGAAGGAAGGAAGGAAGGAAGGAAGGAAGGAAGGAAGGAAGGAAGGAAAGGAAAGAAGGAAAGAAGGAAAACAGGTGAAGGAGGCTGAGCTGATCCCCAGGTATCTTATGGTCTCTCAGTCCAGGAACAAGCTGATTTCTCACTTGAGTTTCCATCCCACTTGCCATCAGCTTGTAACACTAGAAGCCTCAGATACACTGCTCCCACTTGTCTTCATTTCCTGCCATGTCGGCCTGACTCCAGAAACTATCTACCCAACTCACTCCATGACAGGAGCCAGGAGCTCCTGACAAACAAAGCCGGGGCCAGAACTCAGGAAGCTGAGTGGGAGTCAAGAGAGATGGGCGTGAAGGACAGAAGCATCCAACATAACTGACACCCTCCCCATCACCCTGTTACATACTGGTAGACCCTGTCCACAGACGTCTCAAAAATAGACACTTTGTAACACAACATTCCCTACTGTTATTCTAAATAGCCTTTGATAACAATGATTTGTGATTGTGTTTTTAACAGTAAAGGGGGAGAAAGAAAGGAAGGAAAGAGGAAGGGAGGGAAGGAAGGGGGAGGGAGGGGGAGGGATGAAGAGAGGGAGGGAGGAAGGGAGAGAGGGAGGGACAAAAGAATCCCCTAACTGACCCTCCCCACTGCTGCCCATGCACCACATTCTCTCCACGAAGAGCAGAAAGGGGAGGAATCTTGACAAAATCTGAATTCACTGCCCTGGTCAAAACCCTCCAAACGGCTTCCTTTTCAATTTCACATAAAGCCAAAAGCCACAACTAGGTCTCCAGAGGCCCGAAGGGTCTGGCTCCTGCCCACCTGTCCTACCCCACACACACACACACACCCCAGAACTGTACTCTGACCACAGGGCCTTCTATCTGTTCACTGGACAGGATGAGCACTGACCCATCTCAGAGCTGTCACTCCGGGGATCTCACATGGCTGGCTCCTGTCATCCCACAGGACTGTGGTTAAACCCATATCCCTCGGGACATTGCCTCAGCTCCACCCCTCCTTTAACGCAGCTTCATTTATCCCGCTGGCCTTCATTTATCCAAAACTGTAACTCTCTTATCTGTTCGCTTGTTTTTCTAACTGTGCGTCACACTAGAATCTGAGTAGTCCTCAGCGCCTATTGTTTCATGTTCAAATCAGCGTGCCTACCAGGTGTCTAACGAATACATGGATTAGTGAGTGAAAAGGAATGAAAAGGTACACAGCTGATTTGTTATAAACGCTGTTCTGCAATGCAAAGTTAAGGACCTAAACTCAAATGGTTCGCAGTCTAGCTTCAGCGCCACACAGCCTAGACAGCGCAGTTCCATGCTGTGTCCTGGCAGCCACGCTGCTAGCACCAGGGCTGATGCAATGATGGCGATACAATGACAGCATGTGTCCTGGCCCGGAGCCACGTGAAAGCGGCTCAGGCTCACGCCCAGCTTTACAGAGGCCACTAATGGAGCAAAAATACTAACAACGGGGGAGGGGGTAATACAGGGATGATACACCTTGCTTCGAATTCTGCAAGTCCAAACACAGACACTCTTGCATGACTAGCTAAACACACACACGTACACACACACACAGGAGAAGGTGAGAAATGTCTTACACGCTCAAGTTAAAAAGAGGCCATTCTGGCTGTTAGGCACCAAGAAAGGTTTGTTGGGGAAAGGTGTGCTTGGGCCTGGGCCTAACCACTGAATGTAACCAGTGCAGGCGAAGAGAACGCACACCGGCAGACCAGAGACGTGGGAAGAAAGACTGAGCGTGAGCGCTAGCCTAAGGCAGAAAGGAGAGGCCCAGGAAGGCCCCCTCTATCACCCCGGATTTCTTTAATGGAAACAAAAGATATATTAGGACGGAAGTGGCAGAAGCAGAGCTGTGCTTAGGGAGAAGGTAGCAAAGCGGGACATGTGAGACGGAATAGGGGGTCAGAAACAAGGCCACGGTCATCCATTCAAGCAGGCATTGACTGCGCCGGCCTGGCTGTGTGTGCTTACGCCGTGTTAGTGAGCCAGGTAGTCAAAGACTTCTGAGGCCAATCACAAAACAAAAAATAAAAAATCAACGACTACTAGATGGTGGTAAGTTACAACATGGAAGAAGGAGGAGGAAGAGGAGGAGGAGAAGCAGGAGGTAGGTGCAATGTATGGCACTAATCATGGCAGTCAGGGCACCCCAAGGAGAGATGAGAGCCTCCAAACGTCTGGGGAAGGACTTCCCATGTAGAGCAAACAACCAAAGCCTGTCCCATCAAAGAGACGCAAGAGGCCCTCCATTTCACTCAGGCGTGAGCGGCCATAGAAAGGGTTCCTTCCCCTCCGGTCACCTATCCTCTCAAAGGAATGGTGTTCAGCATTAGAAGGAAATGAGCTACGGCATCATGAAAAGTCATGGAGGAAGAAGAGTCTGTGCGTGTTCCGTGACAGAGGCCAATCTGAAAAGGCTACCTGTGTAGCTAAACTATGGAGGTGGGGGGGGGGGGGAGGGGCGGGTATAGGTGGGGGGTGGGAGCGGGAGGGATGGATAGCAGGGCACAGTTGGTGCAAGGCACTGAAATGTACTTGTATTACACTACACATGGTGGACTCATATCATTACACATGTGTCCAAGCATACAGCATACAGCACGCCAAAAGTGAAAACTGTGGATGCTGGGGGAGAAAAGCCAGCCGAAGGCAGCTCACTGATGGAAACAAATGTGGGGCCGCTGATACTGGGAGAAGAGGCTAAGCTTGGGGGGTTAGGGGAGGTGAGAAATCTCTTCACTTTCCTCTCCATTTTGCTATGTGTCTAAAAAGCACGGGTTTTTAAAAAGAGATCTTTGTCGCTGTTTTTCAAGACGGGGTTTCTCTGCATAGCCCTGGCTGTCCTGGACTCACTTTGTAGACCAGGCTGGCCTCGAACTCACAGAGATCTGCCTGTCTCTGCCTCCCAAGTGCTAGGATTAAAGCATGCACCACCATCACCTGGCTGAGATCTTTGTCTTTCCAGGGCAGGAGTAGAAAAAACACTGAGAAGACAACTAAGTCAGATTGGGTTGGGTACAGGGGCAGGGTGATGGGGCAGCAAGAGGGATATGGGACAAGAGGCTCTGATTCCTGCTGAAGACACTGTGGGCAGGATCGCTGACGCGTGGCATGCAAGCGGGAGGCAGACAAGCACATCAGAGATGACCCTGGGGGTTAAGTTCAGACTAGCAAGGATCTCCGTGAGGGCCACAGCTTGTGGAAAGACAGGAGGAGGTAAGCACGTCACGTCAGGTGGTGGCGACTAGACGGAAGAGATTGGACCGTTCGTCTTAACACCGAACGGGCAGAGGAAGGCAGACTCAGATCCACGCAGCAGTGCTGTGAAAAGCCAAAGCCAACTCCATGTTGGTGTGAGCAGGACTGAGTGTGTCACGGTGAACCCAGCACAGTCCCTGACACACAGGAACTTACAAAGCACCAAGCAGTATTTGCTGTGCTGCTGTTGTTATTAGTTAAATTGGTGAGCCAATTAGATTAAATGTTAAATTAAATATAAAAAATGAAATAAATATAATATTTATGACAGAAAACATAAAATTTTAATGAATAATACAAACGTAATCAAAATATAACTTAATCATATTTGATTATTAATAATAGTATCATCGAAATTAGCTGATGCTCTGATAACACTCTTGGGCCCCTGTGTAGTTTGAGAGAACGGGGACCTCGGACACACTGAGGGCGGCATATGGTAGACATCACAGTGATGTCTGAGAGCTTTACAGGTAGTGGACACATGGGGACCAAAGCAACTGTCCCTGCCTGGGGGAGGGGGACCAGGCTGGCTTTGGAGGATGCTAGGAGGTGCTGGGACAGGCTGGGAGACCTGGTGAGCTGCAGCTCAGAACCAGGGTGTAAGGAAAAGGGCAGAGTTGAGGCAGGGGCCCCAGCGATGGGCGGCTCACTCCAAAACGGCAAGGACTCCGTCTTCCCTGTTCCCGTTATGTCTCCAGGACTCAGTAGCCTGTGCTCAGAAGGCTCAGTAGACGTGCTCTGAGTACAGATACCGGGAAACCAAGGAGAGGAGCAGATCGAGGGAGCAATGATTTCTCCTGGGGTGGAGGGATGCTTCCCACTCCAAAGATCCCTCATAGCACAGAGGCAGCCCTGCCCCTGGAAGGCAATGAGGCAATGGGTGGCAGGGAGGCAGGGTACCTGTATTTCCTGGATGCTCTCCTCTTCTCTGGCATCCACCTTCTTCTCCACTCCCTCACCGCGAAGCAAGGCTTCCAGGGTGGTACTCTCGGAGGTAAACCCATCTTTCTTCAGGGGCAGCTCCACTTCTGGAACACAAACATGGACAGATGGGTCAGGCACCCAAAAGCAGGTAAGGCAAGAAGGTGATCCTTAGGAGCATGAAGGGTCCAGAGTCCTCGGGTGGGATTCAAATGGCCTATGCTATCACACTGGGGTTGGGTTTAGCTTCTCCACCAGTGCACTGACCCAGAGATGGATCTCGATCCTGCCCACTCCCTGGGGCAAGCTGAGGCAGAACAGAGGGGCTGGGCACCCTCCAGATGCAGAATCAGATTGCCTGAGTCTTAGCCCTGCTTCTACCAGTCTAGGGGTATGATTCTGGGCAAGATGCTCAAAGAGCCTGGAGCCCATTTCTCCATCTATCACGAGGAACAACGGTGCCCAGGACTTAGGGGGTTTTTGAAAATGTTCAAACAATGGCTGATTACTATTGTCTTTAAGGTCTCCCCTTGGCCCTGCTGGCTGCCAGCACTGTTTTTGTCCATAAAAAGAGCCTTGGAGAGGCTGTTCTCATCAACTCACAGGGGAAGTAGAGGCTCCAAACCAATGCAAACAGAGTGACAGAAATGCCCAACAGACCCCAGAGCAGCAGAACAGCAGGCCACTGTCATGCCCAGAGAGATTATGGCAAGCGTTTCGATGCTCCCACACCTGGAGAAATCAGTAAACTAGGGCATTTTTCTACAGACATTAGCAGTTATCTTGCTAGGTTTGTAAGTCAATGGTTGCTATAGTTTAGACACTGAAGCTCCCACTCACCTCTCCCAAAGCTCATGTGTCAAAAGCTTGGTTCCTGAGGTGGCACTATGGAGGGGTGGAGGGACCTTGAGGAGATGGGCTCTGGTGGGCAATGTCCTTCGACCATTAGGGTGTATTCGAAAAAGAGACTGTACAATCCTGGTCACTTCCCCCCCCCCTTTCCAGTCATGAGGTAACCTGTTGGCTTTACGCCATCTGGAGCATTTCCACCACTGCCATCTGAGGAAGTCCAAAAACTGGTTCTGCCTGGCCATGGACTAGAATCTTGAAAACTGTAAGCCAAAATAAACCATTCTCTTTATAAGTTATTATCTCGTGTATTCTGTTATAGTCACAGAAGGCTATTCTAGTCATGGAGGGGCCAGCTAAGCAAAGATAGGGCTGGAGGGATCCTGCCCCCTGAGAGGGACAAAAGAGAGCTTCTGACTCTTCCCCAGGGTGTCCCCAAACTCTCCAACCTCTCCTTGATCCTGGACCTCTGCACACACACAAAACAATTAGATATGTGTTCACCGGCAGCTAAGGTGGTCATAAGAATAGCCAAGTGAAACCAATCTCTTATTCACATGGAAGAATAAAAAATGTAAAGTAGGGCTCATTGACAGAAATGTGGACGGTACAAAGGGAGTCAGTGAGGAACAGTGATATAGCCACAGAAGCCATCCCACTGCTGTTCCTCAGAGAGGGAAAGTGCTTGCTCACATCCCAGAGAAACCATGGCTTGCAGCATGGAGATCAGAGCCTGGGAAACCAAAAGCTAAGGCATGGCGCCGCCTCCTCCCATCCTCCATCTCCTCTCACACTGGCCAGCTCCAAACCGGAGCCTGTGGACAAGGGGCTCGGCTGCTGTGACCCACCTAGGTCAGCTTTCTCAGGACACGGAGCAGAGAAAGGATGACGAGCAGGTCTAGAAGGGCAACTGGAGACAGGTGGCACCAATCACAGCCTGCTCCGCCAGGCTCTCTGGACTCCGTTGGACCACCACCTGCCACTTCATCTCCTCTACCAAAACACACAGGCTGATAGAAGGCCACTCCAGCATCCTTAAAACTGAAGAAATGTGCCTGGCTAGCACCCAGACGAGAGTGGAAGAAGAGGTATCTGAGGTCTCTTTTGAGAACTTTCTTATTAAAAAAAAAAAAAGGAAAAAAAAGGAGTGATGATCTATACCCACCAAAAACCAGGACCAGGGCCAGCAAGATGGCTCCATGGGTAAAGGTCCTTGCTTCCAGACTTGATGATGTAAGTTCGGTCCCCAGAGCCCACACAGTGGAAGGAGAAAATGGACTCTCACAGGTTGTCCTCTGACATCCATATATATCACGTAAGTCATGTCTCACACATACCCACATACCACACACACACAACTGAAAACACACACATACAACCATTGGATCAACCATCTATGAAACTTTACCATCATCTATCTGACCAATAAATATCTATTGAGCACCTGGGACAACCACTGTGCCTGAACGAGAGACTCAGGAGGCGACCAATTAATGACAGAACTCTGTCTTTGGATACTTTAAAGATCCCGATTATAAAATGTTACATAGAAAACCAAGACCCAGTTATGAGCTACCTCAGGTGCTACCAAGGAAAACAGTGAGGAGGCAGGTACTTCACTTCAAAGTCGGGGAAGGCATGTGTGACGAAGTTACAATTAAGTTGAGTGTCAGTTAGAATCACCTGTGTGCTTTAATGAGCCCTGTGTGTTGATATATTATTACTCTCTCTCAAGTCAGAAAAGTCTTCCAAATGTCTCATCTCAAATAATTAAGGTGTGTTGCCTCCTGCCCTGTCCTCGGTCAAATGGCTGGTTACCACCCCTCAAACTTATAATAACCTCACGTGTATAGTTGAAGTTTAACCTTTAGACCTAGACGATACATGTGTCCAGTTTCCAGAACGGCACAGCGTTTCAGAGCAGGACAAGTTCGGCCATCTAACCCAACTATACATGAGTCACTCGAGCTCAGAAAGATGAAGCAACTTCAGCAAGGGCTACCCAGCAGGCAGGAAAGCAATGGCGATCTTTCAAAACATCGTAAAGATCATGCCAAGAACCTGACTCCATATAATCTCATCAGTGGATAACAAAGCCCAGGTGAGAGCTTCAGGGCCCCGGGGCACACGAGGAAGACGTGGCAAAGCAGGAACTTGCAGAAGCTGTTACCCCCAGACGCCCCCTCACCCCCATCACACCGCAGAGTGTGGACGTGCCCCCTTTTACATAGGGGTCAGCTGGGCCTAGAGAGGTTTTAGAACCTCTCCAGTACCGGAAAGGTGCAAAGTCCAGTCTAGACTTCGGATCATCCCACTTAACTGTGCCTTTCATCGCTCACTCTGTACTTGGTCGTCTTTAACTGGACTGGCTGGCGTGCACAAGCTAAGAGTCAAGAGAGAAAATGGAACCGCAGTGATGAAAATGCAGGGTTTCTCTGGCATATGAAGGCCTCCAAGGGATAGCCAGTGATGCCCGGGGTCCAGTCCCTTCAGGAGCAAAGCACAGAGAGACAGGGGTAGGGGGGTGGGGGAGGGGGGAGTCTTTATATCACAAAGACAGAGTGGCATCACTCTCCCCTAATTGCCAAAATATTTTATTGGCTCATATAGTTTCATTTCCAAACAGGCCTGGAGTCAAACCCTGGCTAGCCTTGCCTCAGGGCAGTTTCCTAACGTAAGTAAATGGCTGTTGATGGATTACGTGCGATGACACAGGCAGGCACCCCACAGCACTGGTCTGGGAATGAAAGAAGGTAATGTGTTACATTAAAAAACTCCAAAAGGACATCCCCCCCCCCAGAACCTAGTGTGTAAAACAACATGGAAAGTGAAGCATGTTGGGTTTTTATGTTTTCTTCTATTTAAAACTTGGGTTCAAAATTGGGAGATACACACAAAGAACCTGGGGCAGTCTGAGTGTCCCACAGTGCTGTAAGTTATTATTAACAAAATTTTAATCACTGGTGCTAATGGTTCGGTAGAAATCCAATAAAAGCTGCCAGTATCGTCCTAAATTTTCTAGTTGCCATGTTCAAAAAGGCAAGAAAGAGGGGCGATTAAGTTTCATACTTTCTTATCCAAAATACTAACATTTTTAATATGAAATTGATTATCCGAAAACTGATGTGATGTTCTACACACTTTCAGACCTCACTAGTATGCATGTTCTCCCTTATAACACATCTAAATTCAGACGAGGACTCCAAAGCCATAGGAGGCCAGTGGCTACCCCACTGGACACAGCAGCTTTATAGCATTAAAAGAAATGCTTTAGGAAGATTTTGCTTTCAGTAAGTGGATGGAATTTAAACATGGTTCTTAACGTTGCCTGCTTAATGCCCAGTGGAGTACCATTCCAGGAGCGGCATTCGGGCTGACCTCTGGCAAACCCTGTTTGCAAAGCATTATGGGTAAAGCTTGGCTAGTCAGAATGAAAGGCTTACCCCACCCCCAAGACAACCCGGCAGAGGGTACATTCTCTGTCTCTTAACCCCCCCGGGGGGGGGCATCCCAGAGCACATCAAGAAAAAGAGGTGACAGGTCCGAGCTCTCCCACAACATAGATACCGTGCACACTCCTGGCAGGCCCTGGGGATGTCACTGATTTAATTCCAGTCTAATACGGCTCATCTGGATAGAGGATCCAGTGACTCTTTAAAAGGCTTCTCTTGTTTAACCTCACACAAACTTGGAGACCACATAACCCGACGGGAGCCATCAAACATTTAACATCAAAAAGAAAACGGACCAAAACCCACACGTACATATTTCATCTTTAAATTAGTCTCATTTCATACACATGGCTATGAACCTATGGATCGTTACTCTTCCCAGAGTGGCAGCAGCTGTCACCCAAAGCCAGCCACCTCCTTGGGACCCGGAGGCAGCTCTGCCTCCACTTTCTAATTGGGAACAGAGATACTCCTTGGGTGATTTCCAGCACGATCCATCACACCAGAGACAGCTTCTGTGCAATCTGAAGGAAATCGGTTTCCAAATAAGAAAGAAAGAAAGAAAAAAAAACCTCTTAGACAAACAAGGATTGAAGCACAGAAAGTTAAAAAGAAAAAAAAATAATAAAAATAAAAAAGAAACATACCACAAATAAAAGCACAGGAGGAAAAAATTTGCCAGGGAAGCACTGTGGCTTCTCCCTCAGGCTCCGGACAGGGCAGCCATCCCTCTCGGGTGTAGATCAAAGCCATAAGCTTTTGACACAGGTGCCCTAAGCCTGCCACCCAAGGCACCAAAAGAAAGC